CTTGCATAGGATTGTACCCCACAGAAGTTGCACTATTGATTTTAATAAAGTAACATCATGTCCCACCAAAATTACATTGCTTTGAATCATGCTATTTCATATCCTCTAATGATCTTTTTATTATCTATCCTACAATCTGGAGGAACCAATAATAGCCTCTGATTTGACCCCCATTAAGATCTACAGGAAAAGCAAAATAACAACAACAATCTTTCAACATAGGAAGCAGACTAGGAGGACAGGGAAATATTTGGCACACATCGTCTCCCCATCCCTAAGTGGTACATACACTCCTGAAGCAATGCATTCCAGCAAGAGATCTTCCCCTCTCAGCACCATCTGACTGCTCGTGGTCCCAATGGGGTACATGAAGCTGGGATGCCTTTCTGTGATACCTCGAGCTGAAATCAGGACATAAGGTGAGGGAGGAAAATACACACATGTGAATCTTTCTTCTCTACAAAGCAATAAAGAGTACTGCTGCTGGAAATGAAAGCCAACCAACAGCAGGAGAGAAACAAGGCAAATCACAAGCCCCAGCAAATCAGTATCTTTGCATCACCCAAAATCTGATGTAGAAGTCTGAAAAGAGCTTGGGCAGATGCTGACTTGATGCAGGGCCTAAATGGAACAGTCAGACAAAGTGGCATCAAATGCAGAGAAGAAACAGTTCTGTTCGAGGCAAATCCTTCTTTCACATCAAGAACGGGTCAATGTGCCATTACTGAGAAAAGGTGCATTTTAACCAACATTTTCATACAATTGTTTTCTAGTTTACTGAATGTGCTAGAAGTCTGTCTGGGATGCTGGGGGGGGAGGGGGGAGCCTGACTAGCAATTGAGGATTTTGAAGGTAAACAGTGCAATATAATGCATGCTCACTTGCAAGTACGTAATTCCCGTTGTCTTCAGTAGGTTTTACTCCCTAGTTAGTGAATTTAAGATTGCATTCTGAAGTACCGCTATTTCCTTTTCCTAGTTTTCTATGTTTCTCCAGTCCTGAGTCCCTCAAAAGCAATTTACCTTATGTTAAAGGTAAACTGAGCTACCTTATGTTATTTCAATGACAATCAAATGACACCTGTATAAGAGACATACAACCTCTGCTCCAAAGATGATTTTTTTTTTTTTGGCTAATGCAAGGCACACAGATGTTGAATGGACTAGAAGGACATTACGTAACATCATAGTGCGAAATGCTATGCTCATTATGTGGTAGGAAATACTTAAGCTATGAAGGTGAATTCGGGATCCAGTTCGTCTGAGCATGCAAGAACCCCAGGTTCAGTAGCTTTATTTATCAACTAAGAGTATACACCAGGGCCTCAGTCATCGCAGTGCTATTGCAGGGTATGCAGAAGCAAGCATAGATTTTGAAACCAAGTCTAGATGGGGTGTGAATACATATTTGCTCAGAGGAGGCATTTGGATACACACACAGAGTTCTCTCCCAGAGGACTTCCCCTGTTGTCTTCAGTGACAGGAGCAGCTCCAGGCATGCTTGTCCATTGTGTGAATGCAACTGCAGCCAAGGCCACAGTCAGTGGTGAAGTTCTTCTACAGCGGAGGGCTCCATGTATAGACTGGAAAGCTCACATTGTCTGGGGATGAAGCAACTATCTGCAGTATTCATTTCCAAAAACATTCCCCATGCAAATATTTTAATTAGGCCAAATGGGCAGCAGCCATCTCTTTGGTACTCATTTTAGAGCTATGCAAGGATGAAGTAGCATGGAATATAAAAAAACAGCCATAAGATGACTGTTTTAATAGGTAAGACTCAAAATAGAAACTCGGTCCAGTTATTCTTATTCTAGATAAATCAGCCTGAAAGCTGATTTCAGCTTTATACAATATCCAAGGCTATTTCAGATTTATATCATTAACTGGACCTACAGTGATTTCCAGTAGGGATCCAAAGGCCTGGGCAACTCATTCCATGCACCTAAACAGGCCTTGGGCTTGAGCTTTCTGAAGGCTGCCCCTTGGCCAACTGCTTCAGAAAGGGAAGGGAATGGTAAAAGCTGTCTTTCAGATATGGCCCCTGGAACTTTCACTGGGCATTCTTAAGTCGTTATTTGGACGGTGCCCTTACTGCTTTATTTGCAGACAGCTAATCGAGTTGGCACAGCTTTTGTATGAAGGTGACGGGCATCCCCTGCCAATGCATGAGCCACTTGGTATGCCCAATGCCCTGCCATAGCTAGCATTAAATGCTTCTTAATAATGAATCAGCCCTTGATGTATCATTTTCAGGCGTATCTGTATAACTGTGAGGAAAGAGCAAGAAAAGGAGAAAGAAAGTTCTCAGAAATTTAACAGGTTTCCACAAATCACAGCGAAGTGTATCACCCATCATTTGTAATACAGCCCTGGATCTTTTAGCTGCTTAGAACATCTGCAATCTACTTTCAGAATCTTGCCTTTGATGTACAAATGAGAAATCAAACAATGAAAGCATTGTACAGATGAAACAGAAGTAGATGGGTAACTCATCATGAATTTGATGGGCAGAATCAAACAGTAGATTAAACCCATCAAATGAAAATTTAAAGCACAGAAACGACTTGGATAGGATTCAGAAAACCTAACACAGAGACAAAGCCATGCACTGCACCAGGTGGGTAGTAGTGTCACAGAAAGGATCAGAGCATTTGAGGAGGAATGAAGACTGTTGCATGATGACAGTACAATTCGCATGAATAAATGGTGTCACGAGATGTATTAAGAATGAAGCTATTATTCTATGCTGCTCATTGTGGGATCTCACATCTGTAAACTGGGCACATCCATACACAGTGACTTCCTGATCCCTGCCATCTGCACAAACAAAGGGGAACAAACGTTTAAGACGAGACAAGCAAAAAGATAAGCATAAGAAACATGGAAGGGTTAAAACAAAGCAACCAAAAAGAAAAGTACAAGAAATTTTCTGTAGGTGAACAGAAGGAATCTGTGAAGGAAATGGACTAATTATGTATATAAAATGTTTAGGTGAACAAGGTGAACAAATGAGGTGTAGGGGAAAGAAATCAAGGTGTCTTATTTGAAAAGGCTATGTTACCAACGGTGTTAACTGAAATAAATGTCTGACATTAACCAGGAGATAATCAAGATTAAAACAAAGGGTAGGAAATGATAGATTAGGATCATTGGAAAAAAACCTGCCTGAATTGCAGGTCCTCGATGTTTAACCAAATATTCTGACTATAATAATATAAAATACATAAAGAATCAGCGGTGTGCCCTATTTTGGGGTATAGATATGGAGTTTCTCTCATAGGCATATGTAGAAAAGGAAGACTGAATTAAGAAAAGGATAAACATTTGCAAAACTAAGTTCATTTTAGGAAAACTAACGGCCAATGCTTGAAGACTTGTTCAGAAGCCACAACAGTAATATCTGAGATGACAATCAATATGCAAAGGTGTAGTTAGTTAATTATGTGGTTAATAGATTACCACTAGAATTCAACTTTTGATACCATTTAGAGGAAACATTTTAAATGCATTTGCACACCAAAAGTCCCAGGTTCGTAGCCCTGCATCTCCAGGTGAAGATGAGAAGACTTCTGCTTGAAACAATGGAGAACTAATCCTATTCAGAGCAGACTACCTATTCCAGCTTTCCTGGCTATTGGCCATGCTAACTGGAGCTGATGGGAGTTGAAGTACAATTTGTCTGGAGGGCAACAGCTTAGGAAAGCTGGTATAGACCATACCAAACTAAAAGGGCTTGTGGAAGTCAGTGTTCCTGCTATCTCCAAGCACGGTGTGCAAGAGATGTTAACAGTTCATTGTGATGCTCTCGAAATCAAATAATTGCAATGGAACATTTTTGTATTGCACATCTGTAAATACATCCTTACTTCTGTTTGAAAAGGGGAAAGGCTTTTATAGAAAAATTGTTGGTTCAATGAATGACAGACAATTTGGTGAACTTGGCTGTTATTATCTCAAAAAGTTATGACTGGATTTTGTATAAATATGTTTTCTATTTTTGCAAATGGGAGAATCATCCATTGTAAGTCCCACTTTGAACAACCCGAAACCTGTATGATACCTAGCACAGTCTGATCCATTTAAGTTTGTGCTGTGCCAGCCTCCACCCTCTATTTCTGTGAAATTTTTCCTTTCCTATATTTTTCTATCTCTTCCTCGTGGAGCAGAGAGAAACATTTCATATAGTCACACGGCCAATCGAGACAGTGCTGGCAGCCAGTCAATAAAGAGCTCTATTATGATGTGCAGGTGAAGCCTTTAAAAGTTTAAACATTAAAATGAAGAGCTCTTGTCTGCCTTATACACTTGGAAAGTGCACAAAATCCCTGCACTCTACTCCTCAAGAGAAATTTATTCAAAATTCTTTACACTCTCAGCCTTCAGGTATGTGAGGAGATGTCTCAGAGCTGGGTAGAGACCTGTTCTCCCCTTCAGAGGAAGAGGTCTCAAAAGCTGGTCTATAATTTTGTGCCTATTTGGTTGGAGCAAATAACCAAATTGTCTGACTGTGACTTTTGGTATTTGAACAAGGAACTAGCTAAGGAATTAGCAAAGTGTAATGTATTCCCATGTTATATTAGCAACATATGGAGAAGGAAGAAAATTAGTAGTACATATGTTCCTAGCAGCTCTTTAAGGCTCCATACAAACTCACAAAAGCAATAAAAATGGCTCTATTTTAACACAACATGAAGACAAGCATTTGTTATTGACATGCTGAATGTATCTTGGTGTAGCTACCATTCCAGTTCAGGACTTGGAGCCATGGCTACGGAAAAGCACAGCTATTTATCTGAATGAATGAAAATGACAGAGAAACAAAGACTAGACAAACATTTTTTTCTCATTTAGCATGGATTCAGCTTACAATGTTTGTATGCACTGGACATCACTACACATCAACTCGTGACCCTGAGCTCCATTTTATAGCAATTGGAATGCATTACTGTCTTTTTCTTTTTAATATTGACAAATCAGTCAAATGCTGACAACACAGGAATGGACTCAAAGAATGGCAAGCAGAAAGAAAACAGTCATTACTGCCATTCTATAACTGAGAGCCAGAGAGCAGGGCCGTCTTAACGCATGGGCCTGATGGGCACTTGCCCGTGGGCCCCATACTAATCTGTGTATGTTGACCCTTGGAAAATTGGAAAACTTCCAAAATTAACAGTAGTTGTGGTTGTCGTAGGGACCCCAGTACACTGCTTTGCCTGGGACCCATAATGCTGTTAAGATGGCCCCGCCAGAGAGATGTAATAAGAAGGTTCTATAGCAGTTCTTATGCCTTTCCACAATGTAAGAGAATGTGCATGCAGAATACCATTCCTGGTTTTGGCATTTCCCTTTTCCTGTACAACAGTAGCACAAGGCATGAAATAACTCTTCTTTGCATGGAA